GGAACTACAGGCGCGCGCTACCACGCCCGGCTGATTTTTGATTTATTGAAGAGATGAGGTCTCGCCAAGTTGCCCAGGCGTGTCTCGAACCCGCAGGCTCAGGCAATCCACTCCCCTCAGCCTCCCAAGGCGCGAGATTACAGGCTGAGCCACCGAACCCAGCTTGAGCTGGAATTTAAAGGGTTGGGATGGGGAGGAGTATCTGGGGACAGGATACAGAGTATGGAAAAGCAAAGAGACCAGAGACTTGGTCAGACAGTCAGGGATGTGCAGGTCACTGACAAACCCTGCAGAGTCCATCATAAGCATGTGCATGTGTATGCATGCACACAAACACATGTACGCATCAGTGTCCCCCCAGTTCATGGGTCGAACAGGCTTGGACAAGAGGGCTTGCTCCAGCAGGGACAGCTGCTCCATGCCTTCCCAACAGAAGCTGGGCTCAGCCCACCCACCCGGCATCTTTCACACCCAGGCCCAGGACAGGATCCAGTCCCTGGCTCCTGTACATTCAGGTTTCTCGGGCTTCTCAGCATAAGCTTTATTGACTAAGTCATGAGAGGCCTAGAGCCTAACCTGAGGCCTTCCCGACCCTCCATTCCCTCAGCCTGGGGCCTGGTCCAGGCCCAGCCAAGATGGAGAGCTCCTCAGGCTGGAGTCAGCTCTGGGAAGGCTCCCTGGAGCCAGGGGCTTTAGGTCTGGTCCCAGAGGCCCCAGGTCAGAGAAAAAGCCCCACTGTGCCTGGTACTCCTCTGCCTGACTCTGATGGCTATCTCTGGCTCCCTTTGGGTTCTAGGGAGCAGTGTCACCATGTCGCGGCCCAGCAGCAGAGCCATTTACCGTAAGCTCTCCCCAGCCACCTGGTCCCCTCCCACTCAGCCCCTCTTCCCCAGGCTCCTGCCGAGCTCCCAAACACCCCATCCTCCACTCCCCCTCCTCACACCAAGTGCCCTGCGGTTACCTAAGTCTCAGCTCACTCTTCTGCCCCCTCCGCCCCCTCACTTTGTCCCCCGCAGTGCACCGGAAGGAGTACTCCCAGAGCCTGGCCTCGGAGCCCACCCTCCTGCAGCACAGGGTGGAGGTGAGTCCCTCTGGAGTCCCTGGTGGTCTCCAAGGAAAGTCAAGTGTGTCTGTGCGCCCACTGCCCTGCTGGACACGGACACCTCCCACAAGTCCCTGCCATGAATGCCAACAACCTGACCCAGCCTCACAGACTCAGATCCAACGAGTCTGATGGAGCAAGTGCCAGGGAGGAGGTGGTGGCCGGGGGGTGGACAGAGCAGGCCTGGTGGAGGCTGAGGGGTGGATGTCCTGTTCCCAAACAGGAAGAAATAGCACAGGGCTGAGCCGGGAGGCAGCTACCACTACCCACCCATACCCACCCGTCTCCAGTCCTGCCATACTCGTCCCCAGGGAACCACTCTCTGCCTGGGATCTCGCATGGCTAGGGAAAGGAACATGTGGGGTCTACAGGCCCTGGGAGAGGTTGAGAGGACCATTATCAGAGGGGGGCTGTGTCTGGGCCTGAGCTCTGGGGCAGGTGTAAGCAGCTCCAAGGCCAGGATGGAGTCTCTGGCCCTGCCTGGAGGTTACCACAGGCACTGCCAGGTCTAGCTGCCTAGAGGGCTGTCAGCACCAAGGGGAAGCAAGGGGGTGTAGCTGCAGAGAGCAGGCGCTAGGTCAAGCTGCAGTTCTGGGTGGATGCTGGTCCCAGGCCGCATCAGATGTCAGAACTCCAATGGAGAAGAAGCAAGGAAGGGCCTCGGGCCATGGTCTGATGGTTCCAGAGGCAATGGAGTGGCACTCCCTAGCCAGCTGGGGAGAGGCCAGGGGACTCAGCTTCACTGTAGGATGGAGGCCGGGAACTGGCTTCATTCAGGCCCAGTCAGTGAGAGCAAGAGGAAACACGTTCAGGATGCTAGCTGTGCCATGATGCCAGGCTCCTTGGAAATGCTGGCAGTGGGAACACAGGAAGAGGAGCTGGGACCTGGGTCCAGATGGGGTCAAAGGGCAGGAGGCAGACTGCATCTCCTGCAACAAAAGACCAACGAGAGACTGGGAGGTGTCTTCCAGAGGAGAGTAGATGACAGAACAAAGCTACTGAGTGGTCAGACCAGCAGAAGGCAAGGACCAGAGGGGAGGCTGAGATCACCATGGTGGGGCTTGAGCTTCTTCCCAGGAGACGAGAGGTGATTAATTGGCAGAAGTGGGAAAAACGCTGGGTGCAGTGGCTCATGCATGTAATCCCAGCAAGTTGGGAGGCGAAGGTAAGAGGATTGCCTGAGCCCATGGGCTCAAGACTAGTCTGGGCAACTTGATGAGACCTCATCTCTACAATAAACCAAAAAATTAGCCAGGCATGGTGGCACGCACCTATAGTTCCAGCTACTTGGAAAACTGGGGTGGAAGGGTCACCTAAGCCCAGCAGGTCAAGGCTGCAGTAGCTGTGAATGTGCCATTGCACTCCAGCCTGGGCGACAGAGTAAAACACATACACACACACAGACACACACACACACGCACACACATGCGCGCGCACACACACACACACGAAACACGAAAGGCATTCTGGGTGTGAACAGCATGAGTCAAGGTCTGCAAGCAGGAATATTCAGTGAGGAAGACCAGGCCAGGACTGTGAGTTCCCAACGGGGCAAAGGAAGCTGGGAACAGAATCTGAGGGTCCTATATCCCACCCAGAGGAGTTCAGACATTATTTGTTGGGATCCTGGAGCCCACACCCACCATCACCCAGCCGCCTCCCTGGCTGAACTGCTAAAGATCATGACTGTCCTTCCTCCAGAGTCCTAAAGCCCCTGGTGCAGCCCCTGAGACTTGGACTTGGAGGCCCCATCCCTGCTCCAGTGCTGCCACACTGGCCCTCACATGGTGCCTTGAAGGTTGCTTTATATGGAGCCTGGGACCCTCACCCTCAAGGGGGCTAAGGACTATGTGCTCCTCCTCTACTGCTTTTCCCCTGTCTACCACACCCAAGCTCCCCCTTCTCCAAACCTTCCTTCAGCCCTGGGCCTCCCCTCTCCCCTCAGCACTTGATGACGTGTAAGCTGGGCACGCCCAGAGTCCAGGAGCCCAAGGATGCCCTGCAGAAGTTGCAGGAGATGGATGCTCAGGGTCGGGTGTGGAGCCAAGACTTGATCCTGCAGGTCAGAGACGGCTGGATCCAGCTGCTGGACATTGAGACCAAGGTCAGCCTCCTGCCAAACCCCCCAGCAAGGGGCCCCAGCTCACCCAGGCCGTGGGAAGGCAAGCACCAGCTCCTGAACTCCACTGTTCCCACACAGGACACACACCCAGGCCTAGGAAGAGACAGGGGACAGAGGCCCAAGGGTCAGTCAGAGGGATGACACCCCAGCCCAGGCCATGTGAGAGCTAGAGCAACCCAGCCAGAAGCCAAGACTGGTTCTCGGTGGCCTCACAGTGGACCTCTCTGCCTGCCCCAGGAGGAGCTGGACTCTTACCGCCTGGACAGCATCCAGGCCATGGACGTGGCACTCAACACCTGCTCCTACAATTCCATCCTGTCCATCACCATGCAGGAGTCAGGCCTGCCAGGCGCCAGCACTCTACTCTTCCAGTGCCAGGAAGTGGGGGTGAGTGGCCAGGGGTGGGGTTTGAGGACCATCACACACACACAGCCTGCCTGACGGCTGCTTCCTCCAGGCAGAGCGACTGAAGACCAGCCTGCAGAAGGCCCTGGAGGAAGAACAGGAGCAAAGGTAGGCAGCCTCGGCCCAGCCCGCCTGTGGAGCCTCACTGCTCAGACCTCAGGGGGCCAGACCCTGGCCCCACACCTTGAGGAGCCCAGAAGACTGTGGCCCAACCAGTCTGGCCTGGACTAAGGAGGGGCCAGGGCAGAGATGAGCATGGAGAGCATGGAGAGAGGGCTGGGCCTTGAAGGTTGCTTTATATGGAGGCTGGGGCACCGGAGACTGTCCCCAGACAGTGACAGGGGACCCAAGAGGCCCCGAAGGGAGGCAGATGAGGTGGGGTAGAGTCAGAAAAGGGTCCAGATGGAGACCAGGGAGCAGGGGGTGGGGCTCCTTGGAGAAGGGAGGAGGTGCTCTGGGTCCCAGGGCAGAAGTGTGGGCAGGGCCTCTGTCCCAAGAACCTTATCAAAGATGTATCCCTCACCATGTCCTCAGCAGACCCCAATTTGGAGCCCTTCGCCCAGGCCAGAACAGATGGAAGGGGCCTCCTCTGGAAAGGCCCCTCCCTATGGAGCAGGCAGCCTCTCTGGAGCGGAGGTCCCTCCTGGACCGAGGACTCCCTCCAGAGCAGGGCCTCCCTCCAGAGCGGGGGCTCCCTCCAGGACAGCCCCACTGGATGACCCTGGAGCACAGTAAGTTTGGGGCATGGGGCTGGTGGAGGAGAAATTTTCCATCCAAAGTCAAAGATGCTCCAGGTCTACGGTTCCCTTGTCCTGCAGGCCTCCCACCCTCCCCAAGATCCCTGCCACGCCACCCTAGTGCCCGAGAATCAAGTGCCTTTGCTCAGCCTCCTCCAAGGCGGTCCCCATCCCCCGAGGACACCAAGAGGGATGAGGTAACTGCAGATGATCCCGGGCTTGCTGAGGCTTTCAGGGCCTGGGAGAAGGGAGGACAGCACCCCCTTCCCCCCTCCCCTCGCCTCCATGCCCAACACCCCAGTTTGGCAGGGCAGGATCTGGGCAGAGGAAGGACAGGGAGGCGTGTTCGGACCCCAGGCTGGGCCTAAGGCTAGGGCTTGTGGTGGGGAGGGGGGGCAGGGTTAGGAGTTCTAGGGTGGGCCCTACTGCCCACTCAAGGCCATGGGTGGTTCGGGGCCCAGGAGGTGCTGAACCATGTCCTAAGGGACATCGAGCTGTTCATGGGAAGGTTGAAAGAGGCCCAAGCAAAGGCCAGCCACAAGAAGAAGAGACTTGGGAAAAAAAACAAGGATCAGGGAGGTAAGTGCGTAGGGCCTGGGAGAGCAGGGGGGTGTCCTGGAATGAGCTGGGGCCCACCCCCTTCGCCCCTTCTCCCGCAGGGCTTACACAGGCTCAGTACATTGACTGCTTCCAGAAGATCAAGTACAGCTTCAACCTCCTGGTATGCAGCTCCCTGCAAGTCTCCAGACCGTCCCCATCTGCCTCCCCCTAGCATCCCTCTGCCCTCGGACTCCACCACCCAAGCTTTCTTCTTCTCCCTCTATTCCCCCTGGAACCACTCATCCCTTCTCGGGACTTTTGAGAAGTACCAAGTTCCCAACCAAGGCCCTGGCGGTCCTGATGAAGACACAGTGGGGTGAAGGGTGGTGACAAATATTGCCCTGTGTCCCCAGGGGAAGCTGGCCAACTGGCTGCAGGAGAACAGTGCTCCTGAGATCGTGCACATCCTCTTCCAAACTCTGAACTCCGTGAGTCGGGGGAGGACGAGGGTAGTGAAGAGGGACAGGCTGAAATCAGGAAGGAGCAGAAGGAGGAAAGGAAGCTGTAGAGGGGGAGGGGAGCTGGGGCCAGGGTAGCACGGGATGGGCTGGGGTCAGAGCCAAGGACACCAGGGCTCCAAGTGCGACAGGAAGGAGAAGCGGGCCTGGGGCAGATGAGGCCGCTTGCAGGAGGCGATGGAGCACTGCAGAAGTAGGAAGCCAGGGACTCTGGTCATTTCCCACCCCTGTGTGGCCCTGTGGGAGTCCAGGCTTCCCAACACCTTCCATCCCTCCCCCAGATCCTGGCCCAGTGCTCTGAGGCCGGCTTGGCAGCCCAAGTGATCTCACCCCTCCTCACCCGCAAAGCCATCAACCTGCTGCAGTCATGTCTAACCCCAGCTGAGGATAAACTTTGGATGGGGCTGGGCCCGGCCTGGACCACCAGCCGGTGAGTGAAGACAAGCTTCGAACCAAACTGGGGTGTTGGGCATGGAGGCATGGGGCAGGACATCAGAGGCAGCCGGGCTCTATACTGTCACAAACCAGAAATACTCCAAAGCCATTTGGGAGACTCTGCATGGAGTTCCCAACTTTTAATTAGGCTAAGTGCAAACAGTTTACAAAAAAAAGAAAAGCCCACAGCTTACCATCATCCCCTACTGAAAGAAACACGTTATCTCAAGAAAAGACAGAGACAGCAACCTTCTACTAAAATAGTTTCTCATTTTCATCAAGGACAAAGTAGAAACTTTGTCTCAATCCACCCCAGAATTTAAGAATTCCTCACGTAAGTGATGCTGCAAATGTAGTATCCATGACTTGGCAACCAAGTGGCCGGGAGTTTAGAGAGAAAGAGTGACTCCACCCCGGAGGGACCATGAGAAGGGCAGCCGGACAAGGGGGCCAGACTGGTGGGAGCCTTGGGAATGGGGATTCCAGCCTGGGCATGCTGAGCCGAGGCATCTGTGGAACACTCCGTGAAACCCCATGGCCAGGCCCTCGGCTGAGAGGGCCCACTTGGCTGTCTGGGACAACAGTGAGCACAGAGGTGATGGCTAGAGGCATGGTTGTGGGGTGCACTCCAGTGGGAGTCTCAGAACCCACTGTAACACGCCATGAGCGAAGAGAGCAGGGTCTTGGAAAACGTCTGCAGGGAAACAGCAAAAGGAAAAGAGGTCACAAAGGCAGAGAAACTCCAGAGAGTTCCAAAGGGCACTCAAAGAGCAGCAGGATGGAAAGAAAGCACGAGAGAAGAGGGTTTCAGAAACCCAGCGAAGTCAGTAGGGAAGGAAGTTAGCTTTTCTAGGGAGTCCTTTGCCTAGTGCCCGGCGCTTTTCAATTCAGCTCCATTTAAAAGTATTTTTTGCTCAATTTTTCTAAAGACATGAATTAGCATTCAAGACAATCTATTTTGTATCATGGTAGAATATGGTAATACATAATAACATACAGTGTATCATTTCGAGTGTATAATTCAATGGCATTAAGTTCTTTATTTTAATTATTTATTTATTTTGTGCTGGGGTCTCCTCTTGTCATCCAGAGTGCACTGGCACAATTATGGCTCACTGCAGTCTCGATCTCCTGGAGTTGTTTTGCATCTTTGTGGATACTTTAAAATTATATCTGCTGATCTGTTTTTCTGAAGACTCAAATTCCTGAAGTAAGGCTGGGTTTTAATACACAGATTGATACATTCCATGTAGGTAGTGTTAAAGTAGCTGCGTAGAAGTATTCCCATCTCAGTCTCCTGAGTACCGGGGACTACAGGCACATGTCATCATACCCAGCTGGCATTAAGTCCACTAATAATGTTGTGCAACCAACATAATTACCTACAGTATTTCCAGAACTTTTTCACCATCCCAAACAGAAACTCTGTACCCATTAAACAATAATTCCCATTTCCCCCTCTCCCCAAGCCCTGGTCACCTCAGTTCTACTTTCTGTCTCTATGAGAATTACATTGCCCATTTTAGGCACCTCATAGAATTGAAATCATACAATATTTGTCCCTTTGTGTCTGGTTTGTTTCACTTAGCATACTGGTCTCAGGATTTATCCATGTTGTAGCATCTATCAGAATTTCCTTCCTTTTTATGACTGAATAATATTCCATTGTTATGGCTATGGCACATTTTGTTTGTTCATTCGCCTGCTGATGAACACATGGGTTGTTTCTAGCCCATACAATCTATTTTCATGCACTCTCCTGATGTAATTGCTGAAGTGAAACCATTTATGGATTCTGGACCTCCCATCTCCTGCCAGTGTTCGGTGTCCAGAACCCCAGGGACTTAGTACCTGAGTAAGCCAGACGTGGAGTTCGTTGGTTCTCACTGCTGTCCTGGGCTCATATTGTGGGCAGAGCCCTGGTGTCCACCCAGCACTAGAAAAGATAACAGTGGAGACTCTGCAACGAACTGAACAAGAGGGCCTCAAATACTTCCACTCAGCCACTTGAACACTGAGTACCCAGTGGAACATACTAATCCATGTTTCCAAACACATCCTTACTTCAAAAATTTGAGACCTCAGAAAAACAGATCAGCAGATATAATTTTTAAGTATCCACAAAGATGCAAAACAACTCCAGTATTCATAAAATTACATTTCTCTGATCAATATTTTTAATTATAGTATTAAGGCAGATGTGCCCTTTGATGTTTTCTAATGTCTTAACATAATCAGAAATGAACGAATGAGAAACAGAAATACAGAAAATAGAATAACTAAAGAGATATGAAAATTCTCAAAGGAGTTGAATTTCAGGTCAATTACATTCAGGTGTCTTGATTTGGGGCATAACACTAAATGCTGTGGTAATTCAGAAGGATGGAGACCATACAAGGCCATCGGACTCAGCAGTCACGATTTTTAAGTGGACTAGTTTCAATGAAGTAATGGCAGAAGTAGAAATCAGGTCGCAGGAATAATGAAAGAACAGGAGGTAAGAAAACACAGGCAGGAGATATAGGCACGTTCTCAAGAAATTTAGTAAAGAGAAGGTAACAAATGACGGCTTAAAGGGAGTAGAAACAGGGTTGAAGGAAGACCTGAGCATGTTTCCAAGGCAGAGAAGGAACCAATTAAGATTCCTCGCTGGGTATGGTGGCTAACACCTGTAATCCCAGCATTTTTGGAGGCCAAGGCAGGAGGAACACTTGAGCCCAGGCGTTCAAAAGCAGCCTGAGCAATCTAGTGAGACCTCATCTTTACAAAAACTCAAAAAATTAGCCGACACATGCCTGTAGTCCCAGCCACTTGGGGGGCTGATGAAGCAGGAGGATCGCCTGAGCCTAGAAGTTTGAGGCTGATGTGAGCCATGATCATGCCACTGCACTCCAGCCTGAGTGACAGAGTGAGACCCTGAGACCCTGACTCAAAAAAAAAAAAAAAAGATTCAGAAGAGAGAATCACTTGTTTTTTTCCCACTGAATAAACACTTATTAGCTGCCTTCTGTGAACCAGTCACTGTCCCAGGAGCACAGCTCTCAAGGAGACCCATATATAGTAAGAAACAAAGATATAAGAACCGTGAGCAACACAATATGAGAGGAGCACTAATCCAGGGATGCGCCAGTTCAAACACTCACCTCTGCCCTGCTGAAGTGGGGAGAACTTTCTGATGGAGGTGGGTGGACCTTCCAGGGACAGGCAAGCAGAAAATACTCCAAGCAGAGCACGCCTGGAATTCACAGCCCACACAGCCCTTCCTGGGCAAGGGAGAGCCTGAGAGGCAAGCGGACAGAGGGCAAGGGAGAGACTGAGAGGCAAGTACTAGCCCCATCCTAGAGCTGACCGGGGCAGCTCTGCCATGATCTGTTTCATGAAATGGAGTTCCACAAACGACTTAGCCGAATAGAAAGAGATCTGCTGCTGGAAAACTAAAAGCAGGTTAGAAAAACTCTGCCCAAGCCCCCCACAAGGGAGTTTTCTAGCCCTGATGCTCTGTCCACTTTAATTCAAATCCCCAATCAGGGCAATCAAGTGCCCGCTGTGTCCTCATGGAGGTGATGTATCTTCGTGGGCAGAGGCAAGGCTGGTCCCAGACACCTGCACCATGGGGTTTATTCAACTTCAACTGTTTGCTCCTTGGTGGGTGTTCTGGGAGCTTTTTTTTTTTTTTTTGAGTTGGACTTCACTCTGTCGCCCAGACTAGAGTGCAGTGGCCACTTCCGGCCACCGCAGCCTCAACCTGCTGGGTTCCGGCGATCCTTCCGCCTCAGCCTTCCAAGTAGCCGGAATTACAGGCATGTGCTACCATGCCCGGTTGATTTTTTTTTTTTATGTATTGTAGAGCTGAGGTCTCGCTGCCCAGGCGGGTCTTGAACCCATGGGCTCAGGCAATCCACTCGCCTCAGCCTCCCAAAGGTGCGGGATGACAGGCTGAGCCACCGAGCCCGACTCTGGGGGCTTTCTATCTGTATACATGGACTGTGTCACCTGTTAGCCAGAAGATTCCTAAGGCTAGGCCGTGTCATCTCTTCCATCTCCGTGTCCCACTGCCTGGCACAGAGTGGACGTTGACTCAGCTTTGTTCTCTCAACTCCCCAGGGATGACTGGACAAGCAGTGAGCCCCCACCATACCAAGCCACATTCTACGACGGCTGGCAGTATCCAGAGCCCTCTACCCAGGTAAGGCGAGCTGAGTATAGCCCAACCCAAAGCCCTGGTCTCAGGCCAGCTTCTCTGCCCCAGGTTCAAACCATAGTCACATGACAACCAAGGGGACTGGGTTCATGTGGGCACCTGCGTCTGTAGGTTGGGGGAGGCAAGAAGGGGCGCAGACTGGAGCTGTGTTTGAGCAGGTCTTGGTCTGATACCCCAGCTCCCTACCACCATGCTGACCACCTCCTGCTCTTGCTTACTCTCTGTTCTGTCCCTCACAGGCACCCTTAGGATCCCAGGACTCTATTTCCCTCCGGTATGCCCTGGACTTAGCGCGGTCCTGGGGAGGGAGGGACAGGGCTGTTTCTTGGGATCTCTGGGCCTCTACATCTCAGAGACTTTCCAACTCTCTTTTAGCCAGACACAGACACATAGACACATGTGATCACACCCTTTCTAATATCTTGGGTGAAAAAAGCAATGTTTGACCCTCGTAGGCTCCACATCCCTTCTTCTCATGGTACCACCCACCCATGCCTCTGATTTCCCTCAGACAAGTACAAAGTGCTTAGAGCAGAGCTCAAATGCAGAAGATTCCACTGCTGGAAAAGGCCCTCAGAAGTCAGTGACATTTCAGACCCCTTCTGCTGGCGGAAAGCCCACTCCAAGCCCCACCTAACACTGGCCTCCCAGCACACTCTAGGGAAACCCAAAAGTCCCCACCAGGCTGCAGGCAGGAGATACCTGGGGCTCTCAAGCCTGGGATATTGGCTCCATTCTCCAGCCACCCCGTCTCTATTTCTCAGGGGGAGAAGTCCTAGGTTAGGGAGCACCTCACACTTTGCTCAGGAGAAGACACACCACCATGACCCTCAGCCTGGGGACCCCAACCTCCAGTCCTCCAGCCCTCCAGCCCTGAAAATGCAAGTGCTGTATGAGTTTGAAGCTAGGAACCCACAGGAACTGACGGTGGCCCAGGGGGAGGTACTGGAGGTAAGACCTGGGCCAGAGGCTAGAAAAGGAGGTCGTGGTAGGAGCTCCAGGCCGCTGGGGGTGAGAGGTCTGGGGGTAGGGCTGCCAGAGTGAGTGGCCTAGGGAGGAAGAAGAAAATTGGGAAAAGCTTGGGAGGGAGAAAGCCTTGTGGGACAAAGAAGGCTGGTTGGACGGTGGTTCAGGGTGACTGAGGCGGTGACTCCTGGTAGGTTCTGGACCAGAGCAAGCGGTGGTGGCTGGTGAAGAACGCGGCGGGACAGAGCGGCTATATTCCCAGCAACATCCTGGAGCTCCTACAGCTGGAGACCCACTGGAGCCAGGGCCAATCACCCCCGCGGGTACTACCCAGCCCAGACTTTCCAGAAGCCATGAGTCAGGAGTTGGAGGTGGGGGTGGGGAGGATCTGATGGCAAGTGGATGAGACGGTCAGGGTTCAGTTCAGACAGCCTTGTTTCATGCAGACTGGGAGTCAAGTTTACCATGGGGCCCGAGCAGAGAGCAGGATCAGGTCTCAGCCAGGCCAGAACAGCAGCAAGTGAGATAAGAGACCTGATGGGGGCCCAGATGTCGGGGATGGGGTGGCCGTGAGATGAGATGGCCTCTGACCACCAGTTTTCTCGGATTCTAGGCTCCCATGCTGCGACTGAGCTCGAGGCCCGAGGAAGTTGCAGCCTGGCTGAGAGCAGAGAACTTCTCCACTGTGTGAGTGCCTCACCCTACCGTGTGGAGGGGAAACCTTTGCAAAGGCTCAAAGGATGACTAAAGAAATCCAGAGACCCATTCTCAATCCAGGAACATGACCTGTACTGTGCATGCCAGAACCCCCGTCAGCACTCTCCACTGAGTTGAAGAAGGCAGGGTGGCAGGACCTGTCCAAGCCTAGGTTACAGCATGAAGTGGGGAGCCTGTAAAGTTCACCAGTTGGTTGTGTGAACACTAGCAAGTCATTCCACTCTCTGGAATGCAGCCAGGATCAGGGTGTGAACTCAAGGATAGCGGAAGGATGTTAACTGCCAGCTTATCCAGCCCTCCCCACCTGGGGACTGCCTCCCAGTGCACTCCTCCCTTCAAACCCAGAAGTTCTCAAATGGTCTAAGCCAAAAGCTTACTGTACGCCTTCCCTCTCAGACCACCCTATTTTATGAATCTGCCTGTGACTCCAACCGCCATGCCCACAGAGCCCTTCTTTACCCAAATGCCCAGGCCCAGCATCCTTCCATCCCACCACTGATGGCTTCTGCTGTTTTTGCTCACAGCACGGTGAGGACCCTCGGGGCCCTGATGGGGAACCAGCTGCTTCGAATGAGCCCTGGGGAGCTGAAGATGCTATGTCCACAGGAGGCCCCACGGGTTCTGACACGCCTGGATGCTGTCAGGAGGATGCTGGGGGTGAGGACACCAGGGGTTCCTGACTCCCCTTGGGAATGTCTGGTCCTCCTGGGTGAGAGAGAGTGCTGGTGGACAAGCCCACAAGCCCAGCCCTGAGGGGGAACTGAGGGTGTCTGGTACCAGCCATAGGATGTTCCTCCAGGGTCTCAGCTTCATGCGCGTAGGCATGCCTTGAGGATCCAAGCATCTTGGTAGCATGCGGTCTGTGGGTCCCCCACATGGAACTAGCCTCATCTGGATCTTCCTCTTTCCTCAGATAAGCCCTTAGATACCAGCTTAGATACCTTCAAGACCAAGGCCTGCTCACATGCAAGATGTCAGCTCTGATACCCTTTAGAGCACCAAGACTTCCTCTTTCAGGTCCCAGTCTGCAGCAACTCCACACCCTAGCTCATACAGCAAGAGCAATGAGTAGACCCAAAGGTTGGGGCCAACCGTGTCCCTCTGCTGTATGGGGAGTCCTCCCCGGTTACCATCTATTTATTGTATCTCTTGACCAAGCCCGGCGCACTTACCGAGGCTTGCTAGGAATCTGGTCTGTCCCTCTCCTTCCCAATAAAAGCATCTTCCGGCATGTCATTTGCATCCCTCGCAGTTTCTTCTGGACCTGCTGGAGGCCAAAGTCAGAGAGGCAGGACGGGCTGGGGCATGGGCATGAAACAGCATCTACCCTGCATCCATCACTGAGCTGGACTGCTTGAATGGGAACGGGATTCACATTACAACTTGGAGCTGGGAATCCGAATTCCAGAACTGCCACCCAAGCTCTCGTTCTCTTTCTTTTCTTTTTTTTTTTCTAATGATAAAACTTTATTTATTTATTTATTTTATCAATATTTTTTATTATGATTTTGTGGGGTACAGTTAAGGGTTAGGTGTACAATT